CACTCAATCATGTCGTAGGCATTTGTTTTATGACAAATGACTACCATGTAGTCATCTTACTTTGAGATTCTACAACGAAAATTATTTTCCATATTTATGACTGGTTTTTCGTTTTTGATTGCCTAGGTTTGTATTTTTTGCAATGGATAATAAAGTTCTAAAAATACTTGTTTCATTGCAGAAAACTAATTTCTTTCAAGCCGCTGAGAAATTTTCGAACCGTTTATTCCTGATGTTATGCGCAGAAATAGTAGATTCTTTTATCGGGAGGGGGGGGAGGGGTTACGGCTCCCTGCTAGATCACCAGAAGGGGTAATGGAGCACCCGAGGGTAAGAACCACTGGCTTAGTGCATATTCATGTCTTTAGCCCTTTGAATTCCTAGTCTTTGAGTGATGAGACGCGCAGGACATGCATAAACTATTTGCTGTTTCGCACGGTCGTAAAGGCATTCTGTACCTGTTGATTTTAAGTAATCAAATAAATAATGAAGGTAATAATTTGCAAAGAATGGTATCATTATATTGATGGTACTTTCGAAATATCTGATCCACTATCGATTGACTTTCAGCTTTTATCGCGTTAATCAACCCAAACAATCAAACTACCGAATACTCTCTCGTAAATCTATCAAACCGCATTCATATCATTTATTTAAAACAAAATTAGACCTCATTTCTCTTTTCCAACGTCATAAAATTTTTTGCGACAGTTACCAGCAGAAGATATTTAGAGATTCCAAAGGTAATTTTCCAGAAACAAACGTCGTTCATTGATTCAAGAAAAATAAACCAAATCCCTGGAGAGAAGTTTTGAGTTTTGATCAAATGAGAAAAGTTTTATTTTGAGTTTTTTAATTTTCATTTTTTACCGCAATTCAAAAGAATGATGTGATTGATTCGATTCTGATAGTGTTTATTCTTGTGAGGATCTATATACGTCATCAGTTTTTAGAGGATAAAAACCTGATGAATCCAAATACGTCATAATCTGATTTTTTATATACGTCATAACATTTATGAAGCGTTAGCATTTCAAGGATATTGACAATTTCAAGGAAACGTCATCAAGAAGGAACGATATAAATTATTTTTATGACTGACTGATGTTGTATTTTAATGACTTCATTCATTCATTCATTCATTATCAATAACACTTCGATTGCAAATTTGTTATTTTTTAAAAGATTTTAGGTACCAAGAATGAAATACTAATGGCAAAAGGGACATAACAAGACAATTTCTGAGTTGTATCTATCTGATGAAAGATAAGAAAGAAGAATGTTCATCAGCTGTTCGAATCAAACAAACGCACAAAAATCAGCTCTCCGTTGAATTCAACATTATCATCGTGGCGAATATTCACATAGAAGTTTCAGATATATTTGCTTGTCCAAATGATGTTTTTCCAAATGATCTACATTGATCGTGACGTTTTTCATTGCATGTTATTAGATTTTATGTAAGCAGCTGATTGTATCGCTATCAATTGCTTTTTGTGCTCACAAATAGTCAGCGCAATATTTTCAGCCATAAAATTACCGTTTCTAGAACCATAATTTTTCACTCTTCACTCTGAGCACATTTTTGATCAAACGTTGCTTTCGAGGTTCCCGAGGTCCGCAAATTTTCAGTCAATATGAACATCTGTGGTATACGTCGCAGATGGGCATTGACTGTTTTGAAAAAGTGTGTTTTATTGAGTAATGAAGTGATGAAATGGGAACCGAACGTTGAAGCAATCTTCGAAGTTTTAAGAATTTTGAGAATGACAAAATTTGAAAGTGCGTAAGCTGAAAGTCAAAGAGTGCACATCACTACGAGAATACTGGCTGAAAAACGGTACGCCGCCTCCTGCTCTACACTTTCAAGTGCATTACTTGAAAATTTCGAAACGTTATCGCTTTCAGCTATTGTAAACAATGAATATCCATCGTAGTGACGATAACGTGTAAATATGCTAGTTCAGTCGTATTGAACAGTTACTACACACAATCAAACATACCAATCGTTCAATCTGCAACAACTTCACTATCGCTAAAGGAAACACACTTTCCAAGAACAAGCAACACTGAGTAGGAGCATTCGAGAGTGATTCGCAAATCACATAGATGCATATGAATTGATAAGTGTTTCGTGCGTCATAAGTTTCGATATGACATCATATGGCGTGCAATGAATTGAATATTGCTTTTACATTTACGTATGTCAATCATCTAGGGCATGTCACATGCTGATGACAGTAACACTTACGCATAACTTATGGTTTACAGCAATTACAATTTTTAAAATAGGGAGTGTGCAAGAATGAGTTATTGTAAAACAATTCGTAAAGTTGAAAAGCCGTTCTATTACTGATCATGAATTTTCATTAAAAACGCGAGCAACAAAAAGAATAGAAAACGAGTTTTCGAGATGAAACCAATGAACAATAACTGAAAAAATTTTTGAATCGGTTTTCGTCGTCCAAATAATTAGAAAAGACAGGTAGTATTATTGGGCAAACGAAAACATTCAGAAAATACGAAAAAATAAATTGATTTCGAGCATTCTGAACTAATCAAATGCAATCGAAAAGATGCGATGAAATATGAGTGAAGGATCAGAAATGAAATCTAAACAAAAAGTGCAGCTGTCAAGGATTAGAGTAAGTAGGAGAGGCGGAGGGAATGAATTGAACAAGAGATAAAGAAGTTTAACGGATTGTTCGGAACTTTTGCCATTTGGCTCCCACTAAAAATCATTGACGATAGCGCTGAAGAAATAAGCACATCAGAAATAAGTTCCCAATTAGAATCTCTTAAACAAATGCGATACCGCAACTACAGCTGAAGAGAAAGTAATAAAATTAGAAATGCTCATACATTCAACCGGCCGAATTCGAATAGGCATTTGATTGACTTATTTACTTTTCATCCGTGGCCTTTTCACCACTGAATGGAACGCAATACGTATCTTGAATTTAATTTTCTTCACTAGAAGCATTTTCTGCCCATTTCGGAGTAACTTTCTTAAACTCTTCAAGACACTGATCGCCTTCATGGGCGCGTTTCAGTTTCGCTGGTTATGGTATTCGTTCTTTGCGTTTCGAAGCGAAAAAGGATAGAATTGACTTGATCGATTTCGAACGTGAAAAACGACAAGTCGGGACAAACATTCACTGAGGATGTCTTCGAAAGTCACCTTTCAAGCATTGGAGTGAATTTCATCTGTTGATAATCGATTGGGACAAACATCCGTAACAAACACATTCATCTTAACGAATCCTATCACCTAGTCCAAATGATGCAAATTCCGCTCACAAAACATCTACGGCCCTCTTCGTAACTTTTTCTCGTGGTGAACTGATGACATTCACATATTTTTATCATTTCGCTAGCAAGCGCATTCATTCTCATTATTTACAGTATGTTCATCAGCTGAAAAAAATAAACATTGAAAGAAAGCCTCCAATTGCGAGATCATGTGAAGCAATCAGATGTGATTGCATTTGCTGTTTGGATGCTCAAAGCGCTAAGAAACTAAAAATCAATAAACGACCGAGAAAAAAAAACTCCAAAAGAATCATTTTTCGAAACTTTTTCCGTTTCACTTTCAGTCAAAAATCTCTCCATATCATTTTATTCATACCGGTTGTTCTTTTTCTAACAATTGTTGTCTGTTCTTCAGTTGAATTTAATATTAGGACAGCAAACATTTCAGCTCTAACAAACAATTAAACAACTTCGCTACTAGCCAGGCACAATTGATTTGAAGAGAAATGCTTGCAATAACATCGTTGCAGATTCAATACAATTTTCGTTGTAACACTCTCTATATCGTTGCACTCATTCACTATATTTCATCAAAAGTGTAATAATGAAGAAATGAAATTCACATGAAAAAATAAAAAATTCTATAGGAATTTCTCTGTAATGTTTAAGCGATCTGCGAGTCATAACAGCCCGAAGCAAGTACATTTTTATCTGCATCGATAAATTCTCATCAAAAATCTGATCGCTAGCTCATGAGAACGATCTTGTGCTGGTAACATTCGATCATTGTTCTGATTATTGCGTTTTGATAATCGCTTCTGAAGGGAACAGAATGTTTTTAAAAGTAACGTCCTCTGCTTGAGTAAATAATCCGTTCTGAGAGATTGTTCCAAAGTTGTTGTAGAGGATGGTTCAACTCACATCCTATGGAAGCATACACATAACTGAAATTAGTGAATGCTGTAGTGCGGTTCATTTCTAAGCAGTGGTTATTCTGAATTACTATGAGCAGTAACGTCGAAGTGAGACAAATTCAGTTTTGGACTTGTACATCACATCAATTGCAATACTCGACAGTGAATAACTTGAATGAATGAGTGTGCCGAAAATAATGTAACCGAAGAACACGTTCTGTGGACCATCAGATCATTAAAGATTCAAACTTTTTCAATTATTCGTTGTTACGATAATTTTACTGCACAGTTAAAATGTGAAAAGACTTCCGAATTGCTGTTGATTACCGCATGTGCACATTGATATGCGACGCTTGTTAATTCATACGAACATAATTGACGTTTGCTACGAAGTTGCTGTCCTATAGATCTATGCGATGTATTTGATGAAGCCACAAAATAAAGAGTAGTGACAGCTGATGGAGCGCAGGGACGGCCCAATCAAAGAATGAATGTTGCGAATGAGATGAATGTATGAACCTTCGGTTATTTTTTTCCACTCAAACATCTTGCCATAATTAATCAAACTTTAACAAGATCATTTAAAAAGAACCTCGTGATCATTCTTGCGAAAACTGCTTTTTATTTGCACAAGTTTCGTATTCTTGCACATTTTATAATTATAAAACATTCGCATATAACGTATTAAATCATTTGCAAGTGAAATGACGTATTCCAACCAATTTCATATTCATTTTTCAAATGTGATTTGTTTTCATTTCGAAACATGACGCATTCATTTCATTTCTCATTCAGTAAATGTGAGTTGTGCTTGTGCGGTCGCATTGCACCAGTATGGCGTCTGTTTGCAGTAAAAGGTATTCTGAATGTTTTTCGGGGTCGTATAGAATTTAGAATAATTCTAGTGAGAAGGTGAATTCCACTTCCAATAGGAACATTTGAAGTGAATTTTCAACTGATTTTTCAAGCTGGTTCATGGATCGAAAAAAATGCGCAACAAGGCGATTTATGCCTTATGCATGCACCTTGCAATGCATACACCACTTTAAACTCTCAATCAAACTGTCGAATGTAATCAGATGAAATGAAACCATAAAAGTTTTTTGATGAGCCGAATTCGGTTTTATTTATTCACTGATTTGCAGAACGACGAATCTGCTTGAACGTGAAATAAAGAGACTGGAAAGCGAAATTGTTGAAATACGACATAAAATTTTAGAACTGAAAAAACGCAAGAACTCATCTGAAGCAAAAATTGCTTTGATGGTATGATATTAAATGCAATAATTTGAAAGGTGACTATTGTCAGACTCACAATTAGTTTAGTACACGACTGTTGAAGCTGTGATGGTTTACGATGTGCCTTTTTGTACATGTGGATTGATTTCATGAGTCAATCAGACTATCATCAGGTTGTATACTGCGATCATTGTGTTTTCATGGGCATGATAATAATACTTCAGCACATCATTGACAGACAACTTGTCAGTCGTTCGTTGTAGACCGNGATATTTCTAGAGGGATCATTTGCAAGGATCGAGCAAAAGGAGTAAAAATGCAACAACGCATGATCAAGGTGACAGTGAGACAGAATCGGATTCAGATTCGCTAAACACAAGTGAATTATTGGAATTAAGCTTGCGTTCATCGAGTCTCGACTCGTCATCGGTGTCTGACGATTTTGAATCATCTGAAGATGAGGCTCGAGGTGATGAAATAAGATACCACAAATCAACGGATGAAGTCAGACTTGCAATGCCCGAATGACTTATTCAGATGATCATATTTGGTCACTGTTCTTTCTTTTCATGAATTTTGATTCAATAGTTCAGTTTTTCATTCGTTCATTATATGAACGGTTAGGTGTTTTGGATTTGCTAATAAATACTTCAATATGAAAAATTAGACACTTCCTAGAGGAAACGAACCTTGATGTTTCAAGCAAAGTCATTCACAAGCATTTCAAATTCGTTTTTACAACAAACGAGTACATATAGGCTGAAACTGTACGACGCATTGTATTCCTCATGATGAGCTCTATTAAAAGCATGCAAAATCAAATTTGTGAACAGATTTATGATCTTCAGTCATCAATTCAAGAAGAATAAATTTTATGTGATTCGCTCGCATTTCATCCAGAAAAAATGTTCCCATCGTAAATAAAATTGATAATTTTATGTTCTCCATTGTTAAACACAAATTATGCACGATAACATCAGTAATTGTTTCTGAACCACCCATTAATATTAACTTTTTGATTTAATTCCATCAAAATTTCATGTGATTTGCAAATAGAGTAAAGTTAGAGAGCGTCTGCAGCAATGAATTATGAGATTCTTGAGAAAGAACCTAGCTCAGTGGCCCTCGCGTTCGGATGCTCCATTACCGTATTACCCTTTTTGATGATCCAGCAGGCCGCCGTTACCCACCTCCCCCCTCCACCCGATAGAAGAACTCACTATTTCTGCTTTTAACGTGAGTAACAAACGCAAAACCGGTCCAGAGTTTTCTCAGCGGCGTCAAAGAAATTAGTGTTCTGCAAAGAAAAGTATTCTGAGAACGATATTATCCATTGCAAAAAAATATGAACCTAGGCAATCAAAAACGAAAAACCAGTCATAAGTATGTAAAACAATTTTCGCTCTAGAATCTCAAAGCAAGATGACCACATGGTCCTCATTTATCATAAAACAAATGCCTATGACACGATTGAGTGGTTACTTAATCGCAATGGCCTATCATCACAACTAACAA